AAAGATGACTGCCTTCAACACATGACATCATATCACGCGGCGTAAATCATTGGATCAATGGTGCGTGCATTGTTTACATAAGACGCTACTGATTCGAGCAGAATGTCGCCTTTTACTCATTTTAATACCCATTTACACTAAAACAGGAAATATTTTTACCTACAAATACTTCATACATCTTTATTTATTTTTCTAATACATAAAAAAAATGTTTTAAAATTTAATTTGTTGGAGGAAAAAAGTTATTATTTGGGGCTCATTAAGTCGCATCAATGTCATCCTTATTAGTGATTGTCATGGCCTAGCAAATATTCACTGCGGATCAGTGTTGTTCATTAGGTGAATGTCTTGACTGAGTTCAATGATTAATATTTTGTTGAGCTGAAGCTAAGCAGAGCTAATCAATTTCATTGGTCGATGCTTTTGGACAAGATAATCTTAATTCTATCTGATAGAGAGTGATGAAACTTAGTGTATAGTTTGATTGCTCAATACTTTTGAAAAAAATAAATGTGCGATTAATTAATACAGTATGTGTCATCTATTTATTTTGTGGATTTTGGCGGGGGACATCAGCCTCACTGTTGGCTTGTTTAAAGCTTGTTTTCTGTCCATCTCTTGCAAAATGTGGGCTTATCTTGCATGGAAACCGCTTGTTTGCCATTTGCGATGGGGCACAAAAACTTGGGGTGGGGGAAGAAACTCAAAACCATGACGCAAAGCTTATCATTGCATCCCTCTCACTTAGCCCCTGACTTTGGTCCTTGATTATGTACACTCGGCAAACCTCAGCGGATTCCAGTACCCTATATCAACCCTCATCTGTGTGATGAAGTTTTATCATACAAATATTTCATAGTCTGAAGCTGTTTTACTTTCAAGTTTATCCGATTTTCTTCAAACAAGTAACACCATTCGACTTTCAGGGAATGTACATGTAGCTCGTCAACATGTGTTCTCTAAGTATCAGAAATGAATACAGATTCTTGGAATGGATCTTCAACACTTTATTTCAGGAGCAAATAATTGACAGCAACAATTTAACAACTTATAATTTCGTATGTATCGGTCGGGCCTCCAACTAGTATATAGGTTCCCTAAGTTGGTCTCAGCAACTAAATAAATCATCTTACATACATTTGTTTATTTATATAAATTAGTTATTTAGAAAGTGTTGACATAAACATATAATTATTGAAGGATTAAGACTTAAAGATACATTCCCGCGTACAAACTGGGTGATTTAATGGTATATATGAACTAAAAACATATTTGAACTAATTAATTTATCATAATTTGGCTTCAAATCCTTCTCAAACATTGTAATTGCGAAGGAATGCCCTGCTATAAAAAATCGATCAAACTAGGTCATGTTTACGTCACATGACTTACCTCTCTTGGCAGTCAGAGGAGAATTCATTGCATACATGTACATAAGACGATGTTGTCTCTAATCGCCTCCTATTTATTACAAATATCGAATCCTAATTAAATTCTCGGTTTATCCACTACCCGCAGCTTTTTCCGTCATTTTTATCTCAGAAAGTGTTGTACATGTGCGTCTAACTCTTCATAAAGTTTATCAACTTGTACATCATAGCACTCAATGTTCGCGTGTGACCTTTGACATCACGCGTGCAGAAATTCCTAATCATCAGGCTGTCGATTAGGGGAACCCTTACATTTTTGTCCTGTATACACTCCATGAGTGTTTTTTGGGGAATCCAGTAGTTTTCTACTACTTTCTACTTTCCATATATACCAAAATTGCCATACTTTTATTGGAAATAACCACCCGATGAATACTTTTCTGGGAACCCATCTTTAAGGCATTTAAAACAATATGATACAAAAATAAAAATGGTTGGAGTGCCCAAGTTTAGATTTGTCGTTGATTCCATAAAGTAGTTAGGTTTTAGAACGTTAAATACAGTGTGATTCAACATGGCGCCCGAGGGGTTTGATATGATATAGGTACGAAATAGTACCAAATGGTTTATTTGTATAAAAGTCAAGGTTTGGACCATAATGCCTTGGAAATCGGAAGTAGGAGGCAACTAGTTAGAAGAAACTTAACAGATCAACCACTTTAGTTGCCAGCCTGTCATAATTTGTCTGATAGGTTAATTGCTGTCTGCCTCTAATGACTAACCAAGCATTAAAGAATATTAAAATATAGATTTGAAATTTAAAACATAAATAAAAAAATAATAAAATAACATATGACCTAGACATTGGTCATACAAGGACAACTTTACACGGAAAATTCTACACACTATGCGAATGATGTAATTTTGAAAACTTGTTTTTAGAAGCGGCAAGTTTTCCTAATAAGTAAACCGGTTCCGCATCGCAATTGTATAGGCGTAGGTACATATCACTTACCGTCATACAGCCGAGGCTAGATGTACATGTAGAGTAACAGAATCTGCCGTGGTTTGCCGAGTGGATTATGTAATGTATAGATGGATTATCCCATTAGTACTATTGTCTATAATCTCCGTCATAGCTGATCATTTTTAACTTACTTAGACAATCCATCTTGGGTGCCCAGTTATGGTGTAAGTCTACCCCATAATATTGGGTGACTGGCTGTATTAAATACTACCTGGTCATACATTTCTATCTTTCAATTATTAGCGGTAATTGGAGTCATTTTAAACATTACCATGCAAGGATTAAATTATATCAAACGCAATAAGATATTCTTTAAGACACAACATTCATGTACTTCATGGTGAACCATAGTTCATATCTTAAAAGTCAAAAATATATGCTATCTTAATGCAAAGACTGTTGTTATTGTGTAATTGAGAACACCCAAGTTTAAAAAAAAAAACCTTCATGAAGAATGGGTAAAAAATAACCTTGATGAAGAATGGGCTGGTACAAAAAAGATAGTTGAAATATTTGTCTAATACATTTAAGTGCAGGAGAAACATACACACGTGATGACCATATAGAAACTCAGAGGAACATTTTCTACTTACATGTAGGCTAAGTGAGGTGCAATGTTAAACTGGGTGCAGGTGTTTATATATTAGGTGAATTGCTTGACTGAGTTCAAACTTTTTGTAGACTTTTATTAGTTTTATGTTTTGACGAAGGCTAAGTAGAAATAAGCAATTTGATTAGTTGATGCTGTTGAACACGATAACTTAGCCTAAATAATATAAGTACATGTAGTTTGATTGCTTGATGCTTTTTAAAAAGGTAAATGTGTAATTAATGTGTCATCTCTATTTATTTTGGGATTAAGATGGAGGACATTCTACTGCAAATATAAGAAAAGTTATTGTGTTCCAAAGTCTCTACCACATCAAATTGACCTCCCTACATTGTACATAGCCTAAGCAAAATATTATTACTGTATCATTGAACTTGAATGTCTGCGATTTCTATTAATTGCTATCAAAAATTGCTGAAATTCAAGAAGCTTCTTCATCTCAACAATATTTATTGAGAGAGAGAGAGAGAATTGTTATCAGAAATCGCTGAAATTCAATAAGCTTCTTCATCTCAACAATATTTATTGAGAGAGAGAGGGGTTTTAACTTCCACTCAACACAAACTAGATAATTTCATGAGTTACATATGTTTCAATTTTACTTCAATAATTCGCTTCTGTGTATGATTCTTTAGATGTGGGAGGAACTGAAAAAAAACCACGAGGTTGGACATACGACTCTACTCCTTGTCACATACAAGCGGGAAATCGAAACCACACCATTTGACCCATTGACAGACATTATAATCTAACCATTGACACCCCACCCCCATCAGAAGACAGACATTCAGGGATGATGGCAATGTATATTAATAAGCTTACATTTGAATCTGGACATACATGTACATGCAGGTACATGTACATGCAATATGATTTCGGTTAAAAAAAAATTTGAGACTTTCTTCTTTCTTTCAATTTACACATATACTTCATATGATATAATATAAAACATTAATATGAGTTTAATAAAAATAAAACCCCAAAAAACAAACAATTTTCAGTGATGTATTAATCCAAATTGCACAAATTTTAATAAGTGCAGGCCTGTGAAACATAAAATAAAATTGATGTGGTCTAAGAAAATATTTACTTTCCAAGGTGTATAAAGCAGATCACAGACTACTGTTACAATGTAGTTGTAGCCATGGGCATTGATCATGCTATCCAAACATTCTTATGGAATGGGGAGAATTCTTTTGATAATCTGTCAACCATGACTTTAACATAGAAATGAAAACCAATGATCTGTTGAAGCCTATTTAAAGTCAATAATCAATGGTTACCATATATATAGCTGATAGTGACTGCTTTCAATAAATAAACATTGATGATTGTATGACATGCTAAAAAAAATTATTTTGCATATTTAAATGCCTCTTCCCCTTTATTTTAAATCTAAAAGTAAAAATATGCAATGTTTTGTTGCCTATCTTTGTTTTTAATCAAAAATATTGGGCATGAGCGACCTCTCTGTAAGTTATACTACCAAAAATGCTGAATATTGCTAGCTTCATTTTCCAGTATTTTTATTTCAGAAAATATTTTGAAAATCAAATCAAATACCAAAGTCTGATCATTTTGAAATTTATATAATTATGTTGTTTACATGTACATTAGTGAGACGAAAATAGCCTTGTTAATTTCAACAATTTCCGTTAATTGTTTCTAGAGTTATCGCCCTTGTTTCACTTTGTTGAACCTTGTGAATGCTCTTTCGACAAAAGTTATCATCCAATCTGTATGAACTTGATATGCATTGTTTAGATTAGTAAAACTAAGAAGTCAATTGCATTTCAGCAATTTCCATTGATTACGTCTAGAATTATGGCCCTTGTTTCACTGTCTTGAACCCCTTGTGAATGATCTGTATGAAATTGCTATCAGTGTCTTGTAAAAGCAACAACCCTTGTCGACTGCTCAGATGATTTAGCTGTAGTGGGCGTATATTTCGTTGCCTGGCAACCTGTCGTTAATTGTATTATTTTTTTTACAGTTGAAATAAATGGAACCCATTCACAGAGATTTTTGGGATTTATGTTGGTCTCTGTGGCTCAACAAAAAGAAAAAGAGAAAACATTGGACATAGGTAAAATGGTTTCTGATCAGGCATTGGGATCACCGCCTGCTACTGAAAAAGAGAATACTGCTATTAAAATTGCAGACATTCATGAAAAAAATGAAACTGAAACTGTAGGAACATTTGATGTAAGTTGTGTAATTTTACATGGTTTGCTGTTTCAGTTGTAATGAGATATATTACTGTGTGAGCCTGCAAAATAAAAATAACATTTTTGTGCTCTTTCCAAACTACTAATCTAAATAAAATCCATTGTACAATTAAATATTCCAACCAATAATATTCTCTCTCTCACAAGCATTGACATGGGATGTATACCAAAACAGAAGCTAATCGCGTCACTCAGCTGGATGGCTCATTTAGCACAAATGGGTGCCAGCATGTCTATCAATTTTGTTCATACATGTATGTATGAAGCTGTTTCCCAGTTCAGTATTGAGTAAATATGCCCTTAGTCCATTATTGTCCCCCCGCCTTTCGAAGAAAGCAGGGGACTATTAAAATGGGTTCATCCGTCTGTCTGTCTGTCCGTCACACTTTTTGGGACACAATAACTCTCTTTCTAATTGAGCTAGAATGTTCAAACTTGGTGTAGGTGTTTATAAGGTCAATATCTTGATGGAGTTCGAAGATGAGCATATTCTGCTTAGATTAAGCAGAGATAAGCAATTTGATTGGTTGATGCCTTGGGACACGATAACTTTAGTTCTAATTAAGTGAGAGTGATGAAACTTGGTGTATAGTTTCATTACATCAATACCTTGACTAAGTTCGATAATGAGCATTTTCTTCTCAGGGTAAGCAGAGCGATAAGCAATTTGATTGGCCGAGACTTTCGAACGCAATAACTCTCCTTCTAATTGAGCTAGAATGTTCAAACTTGGTGTACGTGTTTATTAGGTCAATGCCTTGCTGGAGATCGAAGATGAGCAGTTTCTGCGATGAAACTCCGAATATTGATTCATTACATCAATACCTTGACTAAGTTCGAAGATGAGCATTTTCTGCTGAGGGTAAGCAGAAATAAGCAATTTGATTGGTTGAGACTTTGGAACACAATAACTCTCCTTCTAATGTTTAAACTTGGTGTAGGCATTCATTAGGTGAATGCCTTGATGGAGTTCGATGATGAACATTGTCTGCTTACGGTAAGCAGAGATAAGCAATCTAATTGGTTGATGCTTTGGGGCACGATAATTTTGGTTATAATGAAGTTAGAGCCATGAAACTCCCAATATAGATTCATTATATCATTACCTTGACTAAGTTCGATGGTGCAAATTTTCTACTTAGGCTAAGGAGCGATAAGATGACACCTCTGCTTTTAGTTGAGGTAGAATGTTTACACTTGATGTAGATGTTCATTAGGTGAATGTCTTGACCGAGTTCAATGATTAACATTTCGAGCTAAAGCTAAGCAGAGCTAATCAATTTCATTTGTCGATGCTTTGGGGCAAGATAATCTTGATTCTATCTGATAGAGAGGATGAAACTTAGTGTATAGTTTGATTGCTTGATGCTTTTGAAAAAAGTAAATGTACGATTAATTAATATGTGTCATCTATTTATTTTGGGATTTTGGCGGGGGACATCAGGCTCACTGTTGGCTTGTTTTGTTTCTTTTCGAGAAAATCAGACCAAAACTGCTGGACAAAATGCTAAATCCTCGTACGCAAATACATGTAGTGTAAAAGTATGGCATATCAAGGTTGTGGATCCAGTAGAGGCAGGGGGTGGTGTTAAATATGAATTTTTTCGGGGCCCCCTCCAAAAGTTGTAATTACCGTACCCATGTATTAACATATTTTTTAAAAAAATTTCTGACTCCCGCTAACTCCCCTGTACACACCCTCTGAAGATAGTGGTGGTTAAACTGTGGGTGATAATTTAGATTTCATGAAAAATCTTCATTATTTTTCCCTGTATATACCTCATCTTGACTCTATATTTGGGTTTTCGGGGTCGCCAAGTTCATTGGTGATGTTAAATTTAAGATTTGAAAATCCAAAATAGTGTAAATCCAAGATGGTGGCAATATTTCCAAAAATTTCATACATGGTAGGGTGACCCACCATAAATAAATATCTCCATATATGTCCATATATCTCGACAATTACGCCACAATATTTATATATATGCCAAGCCTCAAATCAGTTTCACACAATTATAGTCACTAAATAAACGATCATGTTGTACTTAATAAGCTATGACCATTAATCATCTATAAATAATAGACTGAAAACTGGTTCCAAGTGTCGTCCATAACATCCAGACACTTTTGAGTAAAAGATAGGTTACGTGCCCTTGTTTTGAAATTAGTCTCGCTTAACCAGTCTATCGACCATTCTACGTCTGATTGACAGGTCGGGATAATCAAGACTACTTTTTTTACGAAACATAACGGAAAGGTACAGTACACTTCAAGCGGAAGTTCTAAATTTCCCCGAGGTCCGACCTGGGCGGAAATGAAAAATCGCGGACGTCAGTTAATCAATCCGCTCTGGCCACGCTCAAAATTCCGCTCTAAAATTCCTCCGCGAATTTAAATAAACCGCCGACCTCCGCGATTATTTTAAACCGCCGCCCACCGCGAAATTTTAAAAAGTCGGACTTTCCACGCATGTACAGTCGGCACATCCATAGCTGGTTTGAAATGGGTTTATTTATCGTGCGATTCCACGGCAGTGATATCGTAGTCGAATATCGGCATGCCAAAAGAAAGATTGTTAATTTAACACGGTTAGACACGCAGATTTTACTGGCTTATATTGAAAAATAACATAAATCAAACAGGCTTTTAAATAATAAAATTAACAGAATTATGGCTGTACCGTACATTACTTCATCAATATGTTCGACATTTTTAAGACTTGCATCGATCTTCTATTTCAAACTCATTCAAATTACGAAAATTTCAAAGTTTACACACATAGATGCTGGTCTTACCGTTAGCGAAAGTTTTGTCCATCGAAATAGCCATTTCCATTCGGACAAATATGTCACACAATGCATTTTAAATTGATAAATCACACCCGAACAAGTAATATATGCCTTCATCTTCTGTTTTCAAGCACACATAGCCAGAAGTCACCGTCAACCTTGCTGAACACGTGTATCAGTCGGATAATACCTTGATTTCGGCACCAAAGAGTCTGGGTCAATGCATACTGTCAGTCAAGATTCCTAATTAATTACGTGAATTCACACGTGTCATCAAAAGGAATTGATAATTGACTAAAATAGAAGCCCCTTTAACAACAAATTGTTACCATGTCGTATTCTTGTAAACAATACTTTCTATTAATTTTATTTACGATAAAACTCGGGATTTAAAAATGTGGATATAAAAGATAATTCAATTTTTGAATCGGTACAGACTTAATGTTTAGCGTATGCGCCGTGTGAAAAGAATACTTAATCATCATATTCGCAGGTGACATATTCTGTTAAAATCATTCGTTGAACCGGTGGTGATATTTTTTTTAATTTGGCACAAAAACCATCCCTTATATCGCACCGTGCCCCTTTAAGTCGGACTTTCCATGCATTTACAGTCAGCACACCCGTACATGTAAATGTTTTAAAATAGCTAGGTTTATTTATAGTGCAATTGCACCGCAGTCATCATATCGTAGTCGAATATCAGCTAATACGGCATGCAAAAAAAAGATTGTTAATTTAACACGGTTAGACATGCATATTTTGCTGTCTTACATTGAAAATATAACAAATATCAAAAATTGGCAGGCTTTTATATAATATAATAAACAGAGTTATGGCTGTACGATTCATTACTTCATCAATATGTTCGACATTTTTAAGACATTCAAACTCGTTCAAATTACGAAAATTTCAAAATTTATACACATAGATGTTGGCCTTACCGTGGGCGAAAGGTTTTGTCCATTAAAATATCCATTCCCATTCTGACAAATAAGTTTCACAATGCATTGTAAATCGGTAAATCAAACCTGAAGTATTATATCTTCGGATTTAAATCACAAATGAATTAAATGCACACCTCGCCAGAAGTCAACGTCAACCTTGACGCAAACATGTACAGAATACCATGATGACCTATTCATTTCGGCACCAAAGAGTCTGAGTCAATGCATACTGTCAATCAAGTTTCCAAATTGTGTGAATTCGCACGTGTCATCAAAGGGAATTGATAATTGACTATAATAGAAGCCCCTTTAACAACAAATTGTTACCATGTCGTAGTCTTGTAGACAATACTTTCATTCTGAATTGTCAGTAAGTAATCATTACCCAAAATAGTTGACCTCATTAATAAAGAATAATTACAATTGGGACGCGAACAAACTGGATTTTTACACTAAATAGGTGCGGTTGTCACGGCTAAATTACTAACAGGCTACGATGAATTAGGGTTAGGTTAGGGTTCCGATATCTTTATTTAGGGTTAGGGTTGGGTTAGGGTTCAGGGGGGTTGGGATGGCCTAGTGGTCTAGAGTGTCACGCTTCGACCTCTAGTTGGCCGGTCACCTCTGGCTTGCGGCTGTGGTTTCGATCCCAGGTGTGAGCGTATGTGGCTTGGAGATAGGGGCGCCTTCTCAACCTCGTGGGTTTACTCCGGGTACTCCGGTTTCCTCCCACAGCAAAGACCCCTGCGCGTGCGCTAAGATCATTAAAATGAACTTGTCTGCGATATCACCTTCGGTGGAAGCGGACGTTAAACGCTAAGAACAACAAGGTTAGGGTTCATTAGTCCACCGATATCTATCATTAGGGTTGAGTTAGGGTCAGGTTTATTGATACCCACATTATAGTATTTCTTATAGCGGCGGACTAGTGAACCCCTGTCGGTGATAATATTTTTAATTTGGCAGACAAATCATCCCTTATAACTAACGCATGCTTTTTTGTGAGGCAATTTCCTTTGTTCTGTTTGATGTTCTCTCTTTGATCAGTTACTATTAATCTAAGTTCTGTCCGGACAAGATCCCATTCATAAGATCTGGTTGTTAGGTGTTTTATTAAAGGTTCTTCGATATGTTCATTGATAATTATTGGAAAGAAACCGAACCGGATTATTATTTAGGATATTTATCGTCAACTGTATAAATACGGTAAGCAGTTTGTGTGTTGCATTTATAAGTTAAAG